CGCCACCTGCAGGGGGAGGCAGCTCTGAGCCCCAGCTGGTCGGACTGGTTCTGAGCAGGAAGTCGCCCTCCCTCGCCCGGGGCAGCCAACCAGCCCCAGCTCGGTCCCCAGCGTCGATCTGCACCGTCCTGGGCTGGGAATCTCCCAACACTGGAGCCAAGGGCCCAGGACAGCTCCCCCTGTCCGAGGGAGCCCAGCGCTACTCTGCGTAGGGAGTCCACTCCCCAGAAGGTGTGACCTGGAGGTTGGAGTCTTTAATGCTAGCGAGAGGGGGTGTCTGAGCGCGCGGTGAGATAAGGGACCATGTGATTCACCTGGGCACTGGGCTGGTGCAAGGAGGAGGGACCCAAGGGCAGGTGAGGCGAGGCACAGAGTGGATACCTGTAGGAGGTGGTTGGAGCCAAATAGAAGGAGGAAGAGGAGGAGGAGGAGGGTGCTGTGACGGGACGAAGCTCCCCGGCTGCCCAGGGACAATGTCTGGTAAGAGGAAGAACTGGTCAGCACTGTCAAGGTGAGTGGACCTGGGGAGAGGGAGAGATCTAAGGGGGACTGGGGCAGGGAATCCTGCCTTCCTGAGAGGCGGAAGTTTCAAAGGTGTAGAAGAGGCCCCCAGCACTTTGTCTCCTCTTATTTATTCCATTCTCTTGACCAGAGTTCAGGATGGGGAATTGGGAGTTGACCAAAAGATTCCCTTTTACCCTTTAGTGGATTCAGCAGACTGGGTCAGGTGTCTCCTCTCCCTAGGGCCCTGTGTTGTCCTGCCTGGGTAATCAGTAGAAAAATCCTAGCATGTCAGTGCTGGAAAGATCTTAAAAGATCTAATCCAATTTCATTGGATTTTATAGAGTTAAAATGTAAAGCAATTTGCCCTAAAACACATAGCACTGTAACACAGCCCAATAGCTTCCTTCTCCCAGGCTTTGCAGACTCACATCTGGAAAGCAGAACTGGGATTCCCCTAAACTTTAGGTTCTCCCAACATGAGTGTGGTATCCACTATGGGTTTTCTTCAAGCAGCCTATCTCCTCTCCCATTGTGGTTATGGCCCTAGGGGCTGGGGGCTTCAGGAGGCTGAACCAACCTCCCCATTCTCCTGCCTAGTGGTCTGAATGTTTTCTAATAAGGATGCAAGTAAGGGGAATGTCTATGAAGGGAGGTTGGAGGACCATGTCCTTGATACAGGGTAGTCCTTTATTACAGGGAGTGGAACCTCATTCATTTTCACATTTCCTGGGCGGAATACAGTGATGCTATGAAAATTAAAAATCCAGGAGCTAGATAAGGGCCACTCTTTAGAACACATGATGGCCAAAGGAAAGACCCACTGTGTGTGTGTGTGTGTGTGGGTGCATTAGGAAAGAGATACTTTGTCCCTCAACCTCTCCTGAAGAGATAGTAGCTTTGGCACATAATTGGAAGCTTATCCATGCTCCGGGTTAGGCTTCAGTCTAACTGGGGAAAGGGCCAGAGGACTCAGAACCTTGACCATTTGATTATGAAAGTCATGCCAGGGTCAGAGTGAGCTCAGATGAATTTCCAACCAGAAAGAGCATGGGCAATGGATTCCCTAACCTTCTTTAGATCAATACCCCACCCCATTGCTGAGATATATACAGTATCTTCAGTTCAGTCATATCACAATCTATGATGTTCCTTTCCACTTCAAGGCTGGGAAACCTAAGAACTCTATATCATAAATGACTTGCCCAAGGTCACACAGTGATATAGGATCAAAGGTGGAACTGGGGTCCTCTATAGCCAGAGATAGACTAATGGAAGTTGATGTGTATGTTGGGGGTGTGGGGGGCAGTGTAGGTCCGGGTCAGTCAATAAAGATGATGGGGTGGTTCTGTCTGGTTCCCAGCTCCCTTCCCCAGTCAAGGGACTTTTTCATTTCTTCCAGAAATTTATCATCACATCCTTCTTTTTCTCTCCATCCCCACATCACAAGGTCTCAGGGAAGGAGTGGTCGAGGCCCAGAAAGGGTCAGGATCTTCCCCCAAAATAACGTAGATAAGACTAGATTCAGGGCCCTAATTCAAAGGTGACCAAATATCTTAGGGGGGCTGGAGGTCAATTCCAACCCCCAACCCTCATTAACCTTACCAGGCAGAAACTCCCAAAGCCTAATGCAGAAGGCGCTGCCTGGTGGGCTTTAGAAAGTGGGAGAGCAGGAGTTCTCAGCCTAATCCTGGTAGTGAGCCCAGAAGGAGGGAAGCCAGCTCTCTGGAGAAGAGGCCCCACCTGCCAGGCTGGTGGAGATGCCCCAGGAAAGGGCTGTGCTCAGGGTGTGGCCAGTGGGACCATGGTCTTGGACTCTGTGTGTATGTCAGCATATGGCTCTCTGTGTACCTGCCTCTATATGTTTATGTGTGTGAAAGGAGTGACCCAATGCACATACATATAGAAAAGGAATGCTAGAAGATTCAAGTCAGAAAGGGTTCCTGGGGATCATTTAGTGCAAACTCTTCATTCTCCAAATGAGGAGCCGGAGGCACAGAGAAGTTAAATGATTTATCCAAGCTCACATAGCTAATTAATGATACTTTCAGGACTAGCACCCAGGTCTCCTGACTTCCAGTTCAATGACTTTTCCATTATTCTGTTATGTGTGTGAATATATTTATAAAAATACTAATAACTTTGATTTATATGACATTTTAAGGTTTTTAAAAACCATTTTCTATTCAACAAAACTCAAAGGTAGGCAGTGTGTATATTGTTACTCCCATTTTATAGCTGAGGAAACTGATGATCTAGAAGGTAAAATGACTTTAATTTTTAGCATTTGGAGCTGGAAGGAACCTTAAAAGTTATTTAGTATGACTCTTATTTTACGGATGAGGAAACTGAGGCCCAGAAAAATTAAGTCACTTGCCCCAAGGTCATAGTTAGTAGCAGAACCATGACAAGAACCCAGGTGCCTGGACTTTGAGTCCAATATTTTCCAATTACCACATAACCCATGCGTATGTACTTATGGAGACTTTTAAAGGTTGGGAGTGAAACTCGGATTTGTTCTCAGACCGCCATTTGTTTCAATGAAAGTTCCATGCCCCAGAATGTGGCTAATGCTCAGGAATCCCTCCCTTGTAACAGGCTTAGCAGTCCCTATGCTTGACTCTGCCTTGTCCTGCCCTAAGGAATTAAGTCCCCTCCTGGAGCTGGCCCCCTCTGGGCAGTGGCAGTTGCTGGTGGACCATCTTCACCCTGATGAGACACCCAGAGCAGAGAGAAGCTTCTTGTATTAAAAAACAAGCAGTGGGAAGCATCTATGAGTCACCCATCACTGTAACCTAAGCCTCTTGTTCTCCAGGGCCCCCAGCTCTTTGCTGGGTGGGGCTGGGCTGAGGGTGGGGCAGGTGTAGCCACAGCCCAAGCCTATTTGGGAAGAAGACAAAGGGGAAGCCGCCCTAGAACTGGGCAAAAGTCTTAGTTGCATCTTCAGATATTAATTGCTAACAGGATCATGGATTTAAAGATAGAGGGGACCTTAATAAATGCTTTTTAAATTGAATTAGAGAGATCAACCCCTCTTTTTACAGATGAGGAAACTGATACTCATAAATATTAAATGACTTACCAAAGCTTGCATAGGTAGCAAATAGACAAGCCAGGATTCAAACCAAAGTCCTCTGACTCCCAGTGCAATATTCTTATCACTATCTTATGCCAGCTCCTGGGGAGCCTAAGCAGGACCCTGTGGGAATGGTCTCAAAAGATAGAGTCCTTGGAACTGGATGGAGCAGGAAGGGGCTGGGAGGGGGTGGAGAGCATTCACTGTTCCTGGAAAAGTGGCTTCTGGGAGGATAGCCCAGCCTCACGTTCCATCCAGGCCTGGCTGTGGATGGAGAGGACATGTTTTCCCTGTTCCTGCCTGCTGCTCCTGCTGCTGCCCTATTACTCTGCTTCTGCTCCTCCTTCCCTTCTCACCTTGGCAGGAGAAGCCAAGGCTGGGCCGTGGGGGGCAATAAAGGGAATGGAGAGAGGCTGGCATGGAGCCATCCAGGACCTGAGTTAATCATTTGCCTGAATATTGTGATGGGAGCTGAAGTCTTGCCCTGATTTATTTCCCAGACTGAGCCCCGCCTGGCCCTCTTAATTTGCCAGCCATTTGTGTCTGGTCTCCTGCTTCTTCACCCTCATTAGAGGTAGACAGCATGTTATAGCCTTAAGTGACCTTATATAATAATAATGATAATAAACAACAACAATAACATTTATGTAGTGCTTTAAGGTTTGCAAGGCACCTGACACATATTATCTCATTTGATCCTTAAAACAAACCTGGGCAGTAGGTGCTATTATTATTATTCCTATTTTACAGTTGAGGAAACTGAGGCAGTTGGCAGCTAAGTGATTTGCTCAAGGTCCCAGATCTAGTAAATGTCTGAGATGGGATTTGAACTTACATCTTTTGAACTCCAGGCCCAGGACTCTATCCACTAAGCCAGATGCATAAAACTTAGAGACCATCTGGTACCATATCCCCACTTGATGGAACTGAGGCGCAGAGAGATTTTAGAGTTTTAGCCATTTTTTTCCAGAGGTCTATAAGCTCTATTCACATGTAAGAGGTATATAAGGTCTATTTACATCCTTGGAATCATACTTTTCCTTGGGCTTGGCATCTTGCCAGGAAGGAGAGAGAAGAAGAAGAAGGGAACCAGTGATTTCAGAACTGGACATAAGAGGGATGAATAGATAAATTAAAAACAACAAAGACAACAGCAACGTATTAAGTACTTACCTCGTGCAGAGCTTTGTGCTAAGTGCTGGAAATACGAATAGAAGATCAAAGACCATTCCTACCCTCAAGGTGCTTATAATTTTAAACTAATTAATTAATTAATTTTAGTGGTATTTATTTTTCCAATTATTTGTAAAGACAATTTTTAATGTTCATTTTCACAAAATTTTGAGTTCCAAATTTTTCTCCCCCCCTCCCTCCCCCCCTCCCTCAATCTCCAATTTTTTGCCACCACAAAAAGAGCTGCTATAAATACTTTTTGTACATGTAGGTTCTTTCCCCTTTTTTATCAAGGTGCTCATATTCTTACAGAGTGGAACAGTATTGGGCAATGAAAGCAAAGGCTAGGAATATGGGGATTGGAGTTGCAGATGTCCTGGGCCTGGATGACTAGAAGTAGCCTGGAAGAGTGATTCATTCTTAGGCTCTGATCAACAAGAAGCTAATACCATATAAGGCTCCAGGGGAGACTGGATAAATAAGCTACTTCAGTTAGGGTGGAGAGCTTGTAGAAGTGTGACTTTTCAGGGCCTAGGAGCCTTGAAGACTCTAATCCAACTCAGTCTTGGGAAAGGTGACTTCCTGGACAGTGGTACGGTTTTCCCTTGACGTAGCTAGCTCTATTCTAGAGGGCAAGTCTTGTCTCAGAATCTGAGTTGAAAGGTACCTTAGAGGCCATCTAGAACTAGTGAAATTCAAATAGAAATCCCCTCCAGTGATGAGAAACCTATTACTGCCTACCACCACTTTTGGATACTTTC